TGTGGGCCGAGGTTAACAATTAATAAATAACCACGTCCGTCTCCTGGGCCAAACAGTCCTGTACTCGGTTGGTTATTATCTATATTTTATAGTTAAGAAAATGGCGTGTTTTGTTTATTTAAATAGACTATAATATCATGTTGTCAATTCGCAGAAACCTCAACGTGCGGGGCGATTAAACAGCCGTAGTTTGAGTCACCCTAAAATACATTAAACACAATACAAAATAAATTTCTTTACTTGGGCAGAATCTCTCCAAAATGCACTCAACCTGCGCGCCACACAACGATAAGATTGGACTTTTTTTTTCTAAACAGTTCTTCTTATAGTATACTATATAATAATATTATGTGAACTAGTTTTTCCAACCACCCCGCCGAGATAACATTATATAAAGCAACATTTACCTCAGTACAAAAATTGCATTCAAACAAAAATGAAAAAAACCTGTACATTAGACTGTCCTTACCTAAACATTGCACTATGCTTAATGAACATTTGTAACCCTTGAATTTCCTGTTCACTCTTAATTACTCCGCAGCGAGTTTATGAGAATCTAGTTATTTGTTCATTAGTAGATATTATTTGCAATTCTACTAAACGTATTGTTAGGTACCAAACTCAATCATTATAGTCTCTAAAATTAATATTTAATGACTCTTACCAACTTAATAAATAATATATTGTTTTTTGTTGCCGTGGAAATTATTAATTCCGAAAAGCTACTATTTTCTAAGTAATAAAAAATAAAAAAATTTACTTATTTTTAAAACGTCTTTGTTGGCATTTTTCTTAATTAAGTATTTTTATTGTGTTCGAATCTCTGTTTTGCTACCTATCGCTATGTTCGGCAAACTATACATTATATTATACAACTTATATTACAGCGCTTACAAAAACGAATAACATTTATCTTTATACATTTCAAAACAATAACAATTACGATTTACGTTTTAATTACAAAACGTCACGGACTGGCTGATATAAAGCACATGCAATTAACAGCAAACGAACGCAAGAACACATTAAAACCATTTGCAAACCACCATTGTAATGGGTACGTAGCACCTGTCGCACAAACCAAATAATAAAATATTTAGTATTTATTCACAATGTGGTAAACCGACTTGCGTGTAATAATATTTTAAAACTCATCTATTTTTATTTTTTTTTTGATAATATTCGATTGCAAATACTAAATGATAATTTAACAGCAAATATGTATAATATATTATAAAAATATAGATCAAATCGTATAGTAGATATAAATGTTTTATGAGATACAAATATTTAATATGGGTAGGTATGTTTGCTTCAGCCTGAGAGTCAATCCAAAAATTTCGTGGACTTTTTCAAGTAATTGTCATCGTCACGTAGTCTGTTACGTGTATTATGTAACTTAAGTTATTATTATTATATATACTGGATTAGTTTTCAAAATTTTTTTTTTTTAATTATGTATAGTTTTTAAGTTTTAACTTTACCACGTTACAACGTTGCCTTTAATTATGTTCGAATGACAATTTGTTAAAAGGAACATGTGTAACTTCTTAACAACTTTTCATGAGAAACAAAAAGCTATTTTGCTTTTTATACTTATGCTTATTCAGATCAACCATCACAATTTTTATTAAATAATAATGTATTAAAAATAATTAGTGAAGAAAATATTTCTAAACACGTGTTTCTATAAATAGCCAAAAATTGTCTGTGACATAGGTCCTTTTTAACAAATTCTAATAATTTTTAATTTAAAAATAATGTACAATTGTCTTTGAAAAGAATATAGTACATTTTCATTTATTCTATCTTATCAAGTCTATAACAATGAAAATAAATAGCAAACTTTGAATACTAAACATGTACATGTACAACATATTATAAAAATGGAATCATATAAAATCACATAAAACATGGAATAAAATTTCTCGGTGATATAGGAGGGTCGTATTAATCGAAAATGAAATAAAAAATTAGTTAATAAAACAAGAAATCTAAATTATTTTTATTTAACTACCAATAACAACGAATTTTTCTTTTAAAAAAAATGTATAGAATATTAAAATGATCAAAGAACTAATGATTAAATGGATCGAAGCCCCCATCGTGTAAGACCGTCTTAAATGTATTATGGACTTATTATGTAAACATGTATATTAAGTACAAACATGACATTTAATTAGAAGATAAAATTGATAATTGTAAGACTAATTAATAAAGAAGCAATGAATGTTTATATAATATCACGATAATCGATTTTGAATTGTCTGTATAACCTACCCATCAACACGGTGTTACTTTTCTTTAACCTCCACAATAGCGTTTTTACGAATACCGATTTCTTAGGCCAGCTGAGACAGTATACTCGTGTATGACTATAGTCTATAGAATTAATATACCAAGAGTAACATAGGAATAAGAATTTTTATCGATTAATGATATTTATGTATTTTGAGTTTGTTAGTATGTTGTTGCTATGGTTGCATGTACTTCAAATTTAATTTGACTCCTATGTTTTGTTTTTGTTGTATTTTGTATATCTGGTATCTATATTTGATCTAAGTATGAACATTATAATTATTAATTTCTAATTAGCAAATACCGTTGATCGGTTATTGGTTAATAAATTAGCAAATACTGAAATACTATTAGTATTAGTAGAGTACTAATTGAAATTATAAAGGTTATCTAACAACACTTTTAGGTTACATTATTGAATTTTTACAATGTATGATGCAATATTTTCCTTTTTTTTATTAAAACATTAAACATAAAGTGTTTGTATAGTTTAACACAAAATAAACGTCTGTGCAAACTGTGCCTATTGACATAATGAAAACAAAATATTTTTCTTTTTAACGCGCGCTGTCTTTTAGCCAAAAAACAAATCTCTAAGGCAGTACGGGGTTATGGTATTTCGAAAGAACAACAACACGTTGTAAAATGATTAGTGATTAAGGAATACCCATTCAAATGGGGAAGAGTAGAGCAGCATAGTTTAAGGAGGTTTGCCCTACTTGAGTGGGATGACAAAATGAAGACACATGTATGTCCTTAGATACATTTTTTTATTTTACAATACGTCCTTATAATACAATTACACATTATATATTATGTTCGATTGACTCTCGAAATGTGTGTATTTTTTTTAATCTTGAGAAAGCTTTTACTCCGGATTAAGTAGATGTCATGGCATGATATCTATAAAAACAATTACCCGTCCGCCAGTGACTTTTTTTAGTAGTAATTAGTATCGACATCGCCGGTTTATTATTAAGACATAGAAGTAGCGAGGTAGGACAACTATAATATAACTCTTAGTAATTCCGTTTTCAGGTTTTGACGAATACAAAAGTATTAGGTCGAATGCCGAAGCGAATATGATATTACATTTTTGTTTGAAATAATCATGTCGATATTAATGATTATATTATGGGAAAATAATTATTTTCCTTACAGTAATAATGTATTGCAGTGATCACCGTACGTCGCTAACACCTGTTTAAACATCGTCGCGTCGTTGTGTACCTGTAAAAACTAAAACCTAGTACCGACTGTGTTTTTTTTTTATTGAGTGGCCCCTCTACGCACTTTCACCGGGATAGCCTCTGCGGATTACGGCCGTGTCTTAATAAATCTAACCGTTAATACGGTAACTATATGAATGAGTTTACATAATTTGATTATTGTTATAAATGGCGGTTTTATCGTCGTAATATAATATATTTTAATAATAATAGTTGCCCTTTTGTTTGTTTTTTGGAAATAACGAAGGAAGATTTAATGTATTTATGTCGCGTTCGCTTCGTTACGCGTTTTTAGAATATTTTTTTGGTATGATTTTGTTTAATAGACAACGGTCGGTAAATTTAATAGGAAAGGTATACAAAGGGAATAGGTAAATTAAAATATGATATATGAAGAGGAATAACAAGAAAACCGGCACGAGGATACTATAAAGTCCTTTAATGTTGTATATAGATGTAACAAGGGAGATGATATCATGTAAAAATGTAAAAAATAAAATGGGAAAAATATGTGTGTAAGATGACTGAAGAGTGAAAACCAGTTCGGTCGTGATTGCGTGATCGAGTAAAAGAGGCACATGACCGACCGTCGTTGTACCTATATTTGGCCGTAGGATTTTGGAAAAAAGTAGGGGAAACGCCTAAAATGTAATACCGCGCCTTTTGTATAATATATTTTGTAATATTTGCCTTTTTTATTTTATCATTATGATTGTCTTTTGATGTGAAAACCAAGTTCTCACGACCTGTCTGGTATTTTGAATGAAGAGTATAAAACGATTTATTTTCATGGTGATGATCCAATTAACAAACGCGTTTTAATTCTAGCCCGTTCGATTTATCATTCGATCAACCGTGCCCGGTCAATAGGACGTGGCGAATATTTGAATGTCAGGTTGTTTTTTATAATATTAAAATAACGTAACCTAAAACTCAGTTACCGAACTTTTTAATTATTTTGACAAGTAGGACAATGACGCCCGAGTAGCGGACAGTTGCTACTAATACTTTTAGTACGTTTTAAAAATGTATTATCACATAACAGTTTATATCGTTACAAAAGCTGATATCAGTAAATTTGGTAAAAACAAAATTAATATTTAAGTGCAAATGTATAATCAAATATAATTATTAGTTAAACACAAGTTATGTTAAATTAACTAATAAAAAATTAAAGTATAATAATAAACACAACTTTCTGTACCTAACCTGTAAAGAAATGACGGCTAGAAAATATGCATGTCATATTCACACTTCCGGCCCTCTTTAGATTTGCTTATTAATAAAATCTTATCAGTTATCCAGAGTTATCGATTTCCAATTATCATAGCATACCATTTTCATCTCACACATATCTTATAGTAATTTTTTCTTTTTCTTCTCATAACTCGCGAACGAACCAGACATTTTTTTGTTTTCTAATTTTTATGATACTCAATGTACGTTGATTTCATTTGTCTGTCTTGTTTACAGACAAATATAGCAGACTTCAAAAAGGACACAGTTGATATGGTGACTCGTCAACGGGACCTGATGGTAGTGACAACTACCGGTGGACATATCGGAAAGCCGCCGGTCGGCCGATTACAAGTGGTCTGATGCAATTTGTCAAGTTGTATATCGCTGCGGATATACGTCTTAAGACTACTATTTCGAGGCCGCCGGTTCGAGACATATGACTCGGCTGCAGCAACAGAGCGCGGCCAAGGGTCGTAAACCGGAAACAACACCATGTGGCTTGGCGTAAAATGGCCGATCCAAACAAGAGTAAAGCGCTTTACTCATCCGGCGTGGCTTTCCTGGGGTTTGCGTGCTTCGCGCTGGCCGCCACTGCCATCGGATTGCCGCTATGGGGCTACTTTGAAAATCCAACAGGTCAGTGCTTTAGTAAATCATACAAATGTTATATGTGTGTGTGTGTGTGTGTGTGTGTGTGTGTGTGTGACGAGTAAATTTCGAAAATATTCACGTAATGCAATGAAATGCAAAATGAAGTAATTACTTGAACTCACTACTAGAGACGTGACTCTTAGCGCTGAGTTACCTTCAAACAACTTTTCACCACTAGGCCGTTTTATAAGTGTTATTGATCCAAAAGAATTACCGTCCACTGTCCAGTTATACTTTAATTTCCAATGATAATAATAATAATACATAAATCTCGTGATTTTCGGGGATGGTTTTTAGAGCCATTTCTTCCAAACCTTTGATTCAGGCGTGGAAGAATTCCGTACTTAAAAAAAAGATTAAAATCTCATATTATAAAAGTTTTTTCGAAGATGCAAATTGTGACATTCCAGTCAGTTTTCTTTAGAACGAATAACTCGGGTAGAATATTAGCAGTGACATTTAAAAAATGTAATATATTTTTCTTACATTTTGTCGTTTATTTATTTGTTTATTTCGTTATATCTGGTAATTTTGTCTAACGCCCTACTCTCAATACTCTTTATAATGTGTAGTTTTTTTAGTATATATATATATATATTATATACTTTCGATCATACTTTTGTCGCTAGTCGTAAAGCTTAATGTACTACCGTCGCAAAAATTATCTGGACAGAGGTTTAAAAAAACACCATGTATTATTATTATGTTTTCACGAGTATAAAATATAAAAACGATGGGCGTTTTTGACAAGAAAAAATATCCCACTCTGGTTGCACAAATTTTCAACAATTGTTACATCACGGCCGACGGTATTTGTGCCGTGCGTATCGATTCAAGGACATTTGCATGTCGAGGGGGATACACACAATAATATTATTTATTATTCATTATATTACACACCACATATATATATATATATATATATATATATATATATATATATATACACATTTTTTGTATTTATATGTATATATAATATTCCTATTATTATATTGGTTTTTTATCTAGGTCATGATACTGTTTTGATTTTATATTATATCACACAATTTTTTTTTTGAAAATAATTTCAGTTACCTACTCTGTTATTAAGACGCAAAAATAATCAACCTTCGTCGTGTCGTATAATATTATACAATTTTAATATTATCTTGATCACAGTTATCGATCACCCAATCGGCGTTTCCGATCTGATCGGTCAGGAGAAATAATCGTATTACATTTAAAATAGTCGAAAGTCCATACTTAAACGCGGATACAGCAAAGGACAAACGACCAGAAACAGTATAATAATATGTATTATAATATACGGTAAAAACGGTTTTGTGTTTATTTTCCGTGACCATGAATCGTCCGGCGTGCTCGTTCAATAAGGAAAAGTCAATTGATTGCTTTACGCCACAATGGGAGCGTTTATCGCTGTAAACACATACACACACACACACACGGGAACCTATATACATTAATAATAATAATAATACTATACGTGTGCGTTTACAGGTCCGGTTATACATCATAACAATATTATACATTTAATAATTATTATTGGTAATCGCTATCGTCTGCTGCGCAACTTTACCTTTACTACTACTTCATTATGAACGCGACAGTCGATCCGTCGGCAGTCGTTAAATTACTATATTGTATACACAATGTTATTACTTATTAGTAGATGTTATTATTATTATTGTTGTTGTTGTTTGCCGGATCGAAAGCTGCAGTAAATAAGTGTGCGCCTAACCCCTCCTAGTCGTTAGCAGTCGGATAATAGTAACACCGTCTGCAAGTAGTTTGCGCGGTATGCGCGCGTTTATCGATATCGCAGACTTCACGGTTTAAGACGCAAGATCGTGATATTTTTAATGTTAATACTATTTTTTTAATAGGTGCTATATTTTGTTATCTCGCACACAAATCCGGTCTTGGCGTATGACACGTTATGCACTCTGGAACGCCCCGGCCGGATCAAGATAACGTAAATAATAATTATTATTGTTGGTACTTTTTAGAGTTGAACGTCGAAATAATAAAAAAAAAAAATACAAAATACATATTTTATTGCCCTAGAAACCGGAAACTTTGCCGAATACCGCGTTGACCGCTTTTAGTTTTCACTATAGCTTGTTTTTAGCTGAACTCGGTAGAGACAGAACGACTAAAGTCATTTTCACCTATTTTTTTTTTTGCCATCTCGAAAACCTAATGTTATTACGCGATAACGTACCCGACTCGGTACAAACGTATAGAAAATTATTGTTCCTAATTTGCAGGTTAAATGTGCCCAATTAAAGTACGAATTTTATACAATAGTATATTCCAATAAAAAGACCGATCAAATTTCATTTAAATAAAATATATGTTTCTAGATAAGAATAGACGCGTTTCTCAAGACGGTTAAACTTAAATTTAACTAGATTTTATTTTTTAATTCCTTTGTCTATAAAACGTACACCTACATTGTAGATTTAAAAATTATTTATGTAGGTAAGATATTTTACATGAGGTAAGAAAAGAGTTCTCTAAAAATTAACTTTCTCTAAAAATCCAAATGCATATAAACAAATGTTAAGTTGTTATTTTAATCTAACACGTCATTAAACATTATTGATTATAGCCTTTTAAGCACTACAATGTATGTTTAATGTTAATAAATAATAATTATCATAATAAAGGTTAATTATTGACATTTACGTCCTGTCGTACAACCGTTTTAACTTTTCCAGTCGTCTTATGTGCTGTCGTTATAGGCAAATTAAAATCCCCAAACACTATCGTACAAGTTATAAAATTTTAATTACCTTTATTGTCGTGGGCGCGCCCCATTATAGAATGCTCGATTAGAAGACGTTATCCACCCATTTATTATGAAGTAAAACGTAGGAAATTTTCGTAAACTTTTAATTTAGTGCTGAATTAGTTTAATTTAGAACTATAGAGTATACTTATTGGTATAGTAATGAAGATTCTTTATTGAATAGTTGGTTTTACAGACTATTATAGTCAATACATAATAAAATTTATAATTATTTCTTATAAATTCAGTTTTGTGCGTATCAATACGAAATTGACTTGGAATAGTTGTATAATCACAACATTTTCACAGTAAATAGAGAGAACTTTATTTGTGCTAAGTGTTTTGAAATGTTCTATAAGTTATAACTCGTCCATCATAATCCATTATTTATTAAAAAATACTAAAACCGTAGCATTAAAAATTGATAGAAAAAAAATTATTTGATTTATCAAAAAGTTGTCACGTTTAAGCATCAATTAAGCATAGATCAAATTTAGTAAATTTTGTTCTATTACAGAATCAATAGTATTTGTTCACGCATACCCTATTTTATTACAAAATACGCGTAACTTCCTCTTTAAAGGGGGGGGGGAGTCATGTAAAAATCCTTTTTTCCCAGGATTTTTTTTTTTAAGAAATGGTAAGATTTATTAAAATGAAATAAATTACATCATGCAATTGACCTTTCAAATTATGTTACAATACAAAATTATGTTCAATATTCCTGTTAATATAAAGGTTATTAATTCGATTTCAACAGCCATAGTTTGTATGAAAATATATAAGACAAATTTGAAGTGTATTAAAAGTAACACAGGTCTGAGATTTCTTTTTTTTTTATGTATTTATTACATAAAAATATATATATATATTTATTAAGCCAATTCAAACCGACTGGGATTTATTGTAAGTTGGTTTATTTAGTTCATGCGTATTGTGTCTGCATAATATATCTTTTGGATAGTGCTTAACATCTTGAATTATTTAAGTTTGACTAGCAGTAACTCTTAAAACAAATGCACTGATATCATGTTCTGCGATTGGCATAACTTATTCGATAGGAGTTCGTTAAAGCATTTTTTAATTGAAATGTTAATTTTCGGATATATTCATGTCTACTTCAGTTTAATGCTGGCGTTTTGGACATATTGTAGAGTCCATTTTCGGAGTGATAGACAACGTTCCGCTGTCGTGACTATACTGAATGTTTCGCTTCGTTCTTACCGCTATTTATGCATCATTGAAAGCACAGTGTTAGCTCGATTAGGAGATGTCTTGCGGGTTCTACCGAGGTAGAATGTTAAGAGTTACTATTTCCGATAACTTTGAATTTATTGGGTTACTTTTTACTACAAAATTAAGTTAAATATCTAGTTATTATTCAAAGTATCTATTTACTTTGAGAAATTCCTTCAAAATGTTGTGGGGAGTAAATTTGTTTTTTCTCACAAAAAGTATTTTTCCTCGTTGGCGGATTACATAATTTCTGTATAGTACTCTTAGGTGATTAACTTGTCTGAGAACGTGTTAAGAACTATATTATGTATAGTTGGAATTAATCAATTTTCGCTTGAAATACGAATTATCATAAAATAATTTTATTTTTTGGATTAACTGACAAAAGAAATCATACATAGGATATTAAGATATCGTCAAAAGCGTAGGCGGCAAATGACGGTGATTTCCTTAGTCCGACAGCGGTGATTTCGCTAACGATCTACTATATGAGAACTATTATATCGGGCATTACTGTCGCATATTCTTGTACCGAAATAATATTATTATATGTGTATATTATTATTATTGCTACAGGTGGACGAGTACCAGAGAGAGGTCACTCGTGTGTTGCTGGGTCGGCCAAATAACCAACGCAGTTTTTACACGTAAAATAAAAAATAATACAAACACGCACTGCCATCAGGTTGTTGAACTCGACCGGGTCCGCAACCGAAAACAAAAATTAAATTAAATATACTAACAAAACCTATGTATGCAGATGTTTGTTTGGCTTTAGTTTTTTTGTCGGCCACCGGTCATTTCGGTAGTTTTTTAGTACGCGTTTTGTCTTGGATGTCACACATGTGTGGCGCCTATTATCTACACAAAGTATTATATAGGCACATCCGCACATACCACCAAATATTAAAATATACCTATTACCGTTGAGGATACTCAACGCTATGTGTGTGTGTGC